AGCTATAGAGGAGATAGGATTCAAGATCACTCGTTTCATTCCGTCGGCAAAAATAAAAAAATAAAATAAAAAATATTAATATAATAGTGTGCTTTCACCCCCAGATTTATGTTTATGAATCCGCTTTAGTAATCTACAGTATATAAATTTACTGTGGAACAAGAAGTCAGTACCAGGTTACTGGATACCATGGTTATACCAAACGAAAAATTTATTCAGATTAAATGTCCTGTTTTCTGTTTAGGTATCCACCGAACAAGGCCTTGTTGAATGGCGACTAGGATAGCTTACCAGTGGATGACTGTTAACCAATGGTCAAGTCCCAAGGGCATTGCTGGGGATGCTCAAATCCACAATAACTTTACAAATTGATCGGCAAAGTGTCAAAAAGAACTTTTTATCTAAAACTGAAATTGTCTTCACCCTAGAAAAGGTAAAAGAAATCACTGAAATGATATGAACAGACTGACGAAAGTCGTATTCATGATTTCTCCACACACACAGTCACTAAATAGGAATACTCATCGATTACTCTGTAAAAAGCAACTGACGTTTTTGCCAAGTAAGAATTTTTTTTTGTTTTTATTGGTACAATAGAAATTTATTAGTATATGGTAAAAACAATTCCCTTTATGACATCATTTACCATCATAAGATAACCAAATTACAGTATACCTAGAGTAGGTCAGGTTATGTCTGAAGCTATTCCTTTAAATGTTCAGCAGTACTGTACTGTATAATGGTTGTCTACAAGATCATCTATGGCCAGGTTACAAAGTTATTTCGCAATTATCCCTATTTAGAGTAACACAAAATAAATTCACTAGAACTGATGAAAACAGCAATATAATTTCAAATATCCGCAATTTTAAGCTAATGCATGTTTGAAAATGTATTTACTTAATCTATGGTAAAAATAATGACACCTATAAAATTTCAGTACGTAGGCTACTGTATACTACTCTGGATACCATTTACGTGACGCTGCTGATGAACTTGGGTGGGACACAATTAAGCACGGACAGATTGGGGCAAATCAATATACAGTACCTCGCCTCCTGCATATACCTGTACGTTTATATAATGGAATATGAAAAAAAAAAACTTACTTGATGCTGGCATCCACAATGGACTCTTCTTTCTGATGCAATTCTTGGCTTATACAACTCTCAGTCTTCTTTGCTGTAATGTTATAGTACATTGATAAAAGGAACCCGCAATGTTTTATCTGCAACTAATATTTACTATCACTATCAGCACTACCCTATACACCCAATTCCCATATAACTTCTTATCTTCCCTATGCAGTATATATATTTATAAAGTTACTTATAAATTTCCCAAATCCTATTAAAGGGCCATTTTTTTTTTTTTTTTTTTTTTTTTTAAACGGGGATTAGCCCGCCCGGGCACAGGTCACTGACCCACATCAGGGCCTGGGGGGCGAAAATGTAATAACAATAATACTTAGTTCTTAGTAAATAAAATTTATAATAAAAAATAAAATAACAGCAACACTGATGATGATAATAATAATAATAATAATAATAATAAAGAACTACAAATCTTTTTAAAAAGATCAAGAGTGAGAAACGATATATGTATGTTGTGTTCTCAAAGTACGAGAAACAATTAAGACTGCAATTGCGTGTAAATGTGACAGAAAGTCAGATCAGCAATGAATGTCCTACCTAACAGTTAATTTATATGCAGGTGTTGTTAAGCCAGTTCCCATCATGTGATCATCAAAATGTCGCCTTCCTCTGAACACCTTTAGGTAGTGCCTGGTTAGGTTAAGTAGTGCTTGCTTAGCTTAGGATACGTTGTTATACAGTATTAGGTAAAAGGTTATGTACGCGTGCATGTGTGACTTCATTGGCGATAAAAGTGAATCGTCGAAATGGGAAGTAACCTTTGAGACACCCTAAAGTAAATAAAAAAAAAACGGTAATTTTGAAACATGAAAGCAAGTCCCGGGTAGCGATATAATGAAGGAATGAATAAAACGTTAGTAAACATAAGGGTACCAGTACAATGCAAAATCGGCGGATAGGAAAGGTAAAGACAAAGATGGAAGGATGGGATGAAAGACACTAGAAGTGGGGTGAATAGGCATACAGCATTACAAGTGAAAAAAAATAGTTTAATTGGCGATTATCTGTACTTAGCGTAAAGCATATGTATATATAAAATTCACTATCTTTATTAACTTTCATGAGAACTAACCTTTCAATGTCCTAACTATAGTTCGAAGGGTTTGAAGCGTTGTTGCCACGCCTTCAACGTTACGAAACAACTCGAATTCCCGCTGAAACAGATCTTCCATGATCTCATCAATGTTGTTAACCTGGAAAAAGATCACTTAATACATTTACAGATGAAACATTAAAATTCATGTCGCTTACCGGTAGTTATAGTATGTCATAAGCTATAGTATTTGCATGCTAAGCTGGCCCATAAGTCTATAACTACAAATAGCTGATTGGTTCTCCTGAGAGTTTTACCTTCCCCCTCCCCCTCAACTGCGTGTATATATATATATATATATATATATATATATATATATATATATATATATATATATATATATATATATATATATATATATATATATATATATATATATATATATATATATATCGACCTTTTATAATAAATATTTACATTTTTCTCGCATCCTCTCTGAAGTGCTAATGCCTTGAAATAATTTGCCTTTTGATAATCCATATATTTAACATTATTTTAGATATTAACAGGTCTGCTTACCAATTCTGAACACATTTAGTTTGAATTTTCTATGAACCAATCAGCTATTAGTATAGAAGAGGAGTGGGGCCTATGGGCCAGGTTAGTGTGGAAAGGGAACAGTAGTACAATAAATTTTATAGCAGATGATAAAGAATTCTTAAGATTCAAAATTATGACCCTTAAATTATTATTCGGAAAGAAAAACTATATGCATCGTTAATCAACCGCTGCGAGGATGAAGACGCAACATGTCCTCTCGCCGAGCTAACGGGAACTTCTGCTGGGTTATCGCGTACTAAGACATAGCTATTGCTCTAGTCATAATAAATATATCAAAAGGAATGTACTGTAGCTATAGCCATTTTTTCGAAAATGATTACCCAAATTTTAAGTTTCATTGCCTGTCGTAGAAAATTAACTGGTGCATGAATTATCCTTTCCTAACAAAAATCACTGAATTATAATATTCCATACCTCCTTTGTTAGTTCCTCATGTAGTCTCTCCTGTTTACTCACTGTAATGACTCTGTTAACACTCATCTTGAAATAAGATAAATATTCAAGTAATCAAGAGAATGACCAGACCTTCTTCCGTCAATATCCCCGGTTAACTGAGGAGACGCGGTGAGTAGGCTGACGACCGGCGAACCTATGGCGGGAAAACGTCGAACGAACGAAAGTTCTAGAATCCTTTTCTTTTATATCTTTATCTATGTACTTTGAGATTAATTAACAACAAGAATCTCCCGTGTGCAATATTCATAGGGATTTTTCACTGAAATTTCTTACATTGCGTGTTATATTTAAAAAAAACACTCCTCGGTGTTTGAAATTTTCATGATTCACAAATAACTGAAGTGTCATTATATCAGATAAAAAGAATTATTGCAAAATTCTTATCTACTGTATGTAGGCTGCATATGACAAAGCAATTAATGAATAGCGATTTAAGTCATCAACTGTTAAAATTTATATGAATTTGGTGTAAAATTATAAAATAATTTGCCAATCAGAGAAAAAAAAAGGTTATTCCATATTCTTTCGCAATTCAAGAGCTAAATTAAATGTATGTTGTATTTTGACTGTTGCTACTTTGGCGGATAATTGTTGGCTCATTTAGTTCAATAATTTATGTAAGCTTAAAACCTATCTCGATTAGCCCTTTCACCGCGTGTCACGCACTTGCCATTTTGTTCTGGCTACTTCCAGACGATTTTATTCAGCTGGGGGGGGGGGGGCAAACTCCCTCTGTGAAAGAGTTAAAAACCCATCTCGATTAATGCAATGGAGATA